CTTAGGATAAATTATCCAATAGGCAGATAGTGCTGTCTACATTTGATTTACATTGCGGGGGAGGCGCTACTGCATCCCCCCCCGCTTTTTTAAATCTAATTGCTAATACCCCCTGCACTACCTATATTGCTACCACTACCACCTCTACCACCCTACGAATCCTACCACAGTCACCACAACTATTATCTTCTATGCGTTGACGCTGCCACAAAGGTGGATGATAAGGCCCGCCTTCGCCTAGCGTGATAGCCAAAAACCTTCGATTAGTAGGAAATGCTGTGCGCTACCCCTATTGCTTCCATCACTACTACTATTGCTATTGCTTTTACTACCTCTATTTCTATTTACACTACTACCACTATTACTACCACTTCTGCTTCTACTTCTACTTCTACCACTACCACTACGACGACTATTACTACTACTAGTACTACTTCTACTATATTACTATTATCACTGCTACTTCCACTACGATTACCAGTACTACTACTACTATATTACTACTATACTATTCTACTAAACCACTACCATACTACTACTATACTATACTTCTATACTATTACTACTACTACTACTACGACTACGACGACTACTACTATACTACTACTACGACGACGACTACGACGACTACGACGACTACGACTACGACTACTACTCCTGTCCTTTCCCCCTTCTAATTTTCTTCGCTGTGAATATTTTGTTCGATCCTCTTCTTTTTTTGATCCCTCTTGAGTATGTATTTTTTGATGCTGATCTTGTATATTTTTGATCCCTCACCCATTGCTGAAGGTGTGTAACCGATGCTTTTCGCATCGGAGCTTGGGTATTGATGCCGTTGCAGGGTGCCGCTGCCAGAGCTGTTGCAGGGCGTCATTGCGCTTGAGAGTTTGGTTGCAGGGCGCCGCTGTTGTGTGCGTTTCGAAGCTTGGGTGGTGGCGCCGCCGGAATGCGCCTCGGCTTGGGTGTATTGTTCTGTACGGCGCCGTTGCTATGTGGCCTTGGGTGCTTGGGATACCATCGCAATACGACCGAGACACCAACATCACATGACCGGGACACCATCACAACATGACCGAATCACCACCATCGCATGACCGACCATCTCACCATGACCGGGACACCATCGCAACATGACCCGGACACCATCACAACACGACCGGGCCGTCGCAACATGACCGGAACAGGCTCATAGTTTGACTGGGATACCGTCCGCCCACCAGCTCTGATGCCTGTTAATATGCAAGACCCCATATTGTGGCTATCCGGAAATAGAAAAATACATGCATATATATATATATAC